TGGGTTCCCCTAAGCTCTGCACGGCCAGGCAATACGCCATTTTCCACATTTTTAGTCAGTAAACAGTCCTTGAGCTGGTTTTTAGTTGTTTTATTAAGAGGTTAACAACTTGAATGGGGTCTAGGGGTATATGGGATGCCCAAAGAACTGTAAACTTGAGGACAAACTTTTTATCAACCTGTACCTGTACAAAAAAGAGGTAGATCCGAAGATAGCAAATAGCACTCTTTAGAGAACTTTAAGCCCCCTTTAGTCTACCTCCTCAGACCCCAGATTAATCCTTCCTCTTCACCTGGCTGCACTGAGGGTATCCCTGGGCAAGGGATTCCAAGATCTAGCAATGAAGTAGTCCAGGATGAAAACTAGTTGGGTCTTGCACCTGACCGCCTTCTCCCTTTATCTGGCCCAGAGGGTGTAGGAGTACTCACACTCTCCTGTCCTGTCAGCGTGGTGGGTTGGTTGCTGCCTTCAGGACTTTTGCTGGGCTGGCTTATTCCCTGCTGCTCAGGATGTTCTCCCAAATAGACAGTGGTACAGTGGAGATCCTTCTGTCAAGTAACCAGCCTGTAGATAGACTCCCCTCCCTGGGGCCCCCTCCCAAGCCCCACACTCCAACCTTCCTCTCAGTCCAGCTTCCACCTGACTCTACACACTGCTTCACTCCCCATGCTCTGCCACATATAAGGATTGTCCTTTGTCATCATGCCTGGCCTCCTGCCTGGGGATATGCCATGGTCCCTCAAACATGCAGATCTGGCCTCCTCCCCTCCTCCACCCCTCTTCCAGAAATTTATCTCAGTTTCTAGAAGGGTGGGAGGGCTCTAGAGGCCGTGACTTATAAAGGTGCCTGTCCTGAGGTGAACTTCTGCCTCACTCCCAGGCTGACTCATCCCAGGCTGCTACCCAGCCTCTGTCTAAAAAAAAAAAAAAAAAACAAAGCCTAGCTATCTAAACCTAGAGAGCACTACATCAGAAACTAGACTGTGACATTCTCAGACTACTAGACCCATAACGTCAATGGGACCAATCAAATGCACTTTGTGGGAAGGGAGGAGCTGGGACAAACAGGAAGAATCTGGCTGTCTACAGTTTCACCTAGCCAGAACATCATAGTTTGATGATTCACAGTAAGCCGCAGGAGATCCTCCAAATCCCATACTCACCAAGAGTCACTCCTGTCTTGTGTCATTCCACTCTGCTCAACACTTCTCTATTATCCACAGACTAGGCAACTGGCTTTAAATGTCATGTGCCATGTCAAACACATGGTATCATCTAATCATTTGGCACTACTTTTCTTGTGTTGGAGAAAATGCTCACAATGGCACAGTATAAGGGAAAACCTCAACTATTTATATTACTGTACCAGTTGATGTGCAGACAGATTATTAAAGTTGAATACCATTTTGACAGATAAGATGGCAGACAATTAGCTAGTTCCCTGTTTGCTTTCTACACTACTTTATTGGCTCCCATGATATCCTATTGCACAGTTACTTTAATAGTGCCACTGGATTTAAAAGACACACCAATGCTATATCCTTGGGATCTTTACTGGAACATCTAAATGAAGAACAACATCTCCTGATCAATGGATCAGACACAAGCTTAAATAGTATTCACATTGCCAGTTTCTGATTTATGGAAGGGTAGCTACTTCTCTCAAAGCAGACTTTAACTCAAAAAGTGAAGATTTGCTATGCTATATAGAACAGTTAGAAATGTCTACTGTACCTAAGTAATACCCTCACAAATCGAAATAGTGATATAAACAATGCAGTGCAACTAGGATTGCTCTGCATTCTGTTTATCACTATATAATCCTTTGGTGTGGGAACACATGTCAATGTTGGCAGCAACCAATTAAGTTTCTTTCACAAATTGTTGACTTTGTTTTCTCACATTGGTAGTGCAGTGGGTATAATATTTATTTTAGCATTCACTGACCCTCAAAAATCTACCTTTTATCTAGAATTCACCCTGAAAAATAGCAGTGTACTTACCAATATCTGAGGGTTTCTAGGGTTCCTGTTGTATCATAGCTGTATTTCTGCAGTGTGAGATCTTAGGCACTAATGTCACTCACTGCTAGTATCAGGAGATTCAGAGTGAGATTTAGTAATGCCACTTCTGTGCTGCTCACTGGTCTTCTTGTTGGAAGGTCTGACAAGAAAAAACAAAATCCCTGCCTCTAACAAGAAGGCTGCCTCCACAAAGACACAGGGCAGAAAAAGACACAGTAAACCAAAAATAGGGGACGTTTCAGCTGCAGGGATAACACAGGCAATGTTAGTGCCACACTCACCTGCTTCACGCTTCAGCACTGGGTATTCCCCTCTGTGGCTGGCTTCTGGGTTTCACTAGTGCTGCAGCCAATCCCAGAGGGGGCGCTATCTTAAAAAACGAGCTGGTGTGTTGTTCAGCATTCACACACTAGCTGACAGAACCTCCTGTGCGTCCTGGAACCTCAAATAAATCATTCAAGTAATCTCCAGTGTCTCCTGTGCTACTGTGACATTGTGCCCTTCAGCTAGCATCTTTTGTGACCCCATGCACTCAACCTGCATCCAGCATCCCTGCGGGACTTCCAAGCACCCCAGTACTGCTACTGCTAAAGACTCTCATCTCTGTGTTCAAGTGTGACTGCTGTCTGTCCTAATCCTGTGATCCCATCAGCTTAATACTGCCAGAGACTTTTCAGTGTATCTGTGCCTGGTCTTCTGTAGGTGCAACCTGGTGGCCATCAGCAGCAAAACCCATCACCCCTTTCAGGGTGCTCTTATAAAAACCAGGTGGCCCTTTAAACCCTGTGACTCAGCCCTTCTTGGGCCCTCACCACCGCTGACAAGTAGTTACTCTAATTCCTTCTGTGTCACTGGGTATTCTGACCCTCTAATAATCATGGAACAGGGGTGGACTGACCATTTGGAAACTCAGGCACTGCCCGAAGGCCCGGGGTCAGTAGGGGGCCCCATGAGATGCCCCTGGTACCTTTTTCATAGGCTTTTTTGAGTTTGGGCAAGGACACAGGGGCCCCATGATCCCCTATTGCCCAGGGGCCCCATGAGTTGTCAGTCCGTCCCTGTCATGGAATTACTCTGAGTCTCTTCTGTCTCTACGTTACCCCGACCTAGCCTCAGCTACCATCATCAAGTCCTGGTTAACCGTCTCTGCCCCTAGGTTAACCGTCTGCCCCTAGTCCTGGTTAACCGTCTGCCCCTACACTTCTGGCTGTGAAAGACTGACAGCTAGGGATTAGCCCTTCTCAGAATTGCTCTTTATTCAAAGATTGAGGATTTTCATGATCCTGAAATTTTGGTGAAAATCTGGAGATTTCAGTAAAATATTTATTAAATTATCAAAATTAATTAGATTCAGTTAGGAAGGGTAAAAAAGATAGTTTTGTATTGTTTGTAGGTGTGTAATGAGCTTTAATTGGCACCTGAGGGTTACAGAAGCTCCTTTCAAGTATCCTGGACATACTTTGGTTCCAAAAAGCGATCCCTTATTCGCCACATTACTTTTTTTCCCCCAGAAAAAAAAAAAAAGAGGAAAAGAGGAAAACAGGACAAGTCATCCCCCTCAGGAGGTAGCGCTACACATTTTTGTCCAGGTCTCCGCTTGCTTCGTCCCACAGCCAGGTACAAGGTATTTTCTGTAGCCAGGTGCACACACACACTTTGTTGTCTTCAATGACCAGTCTAGGGAATGTTGTTTTTTGGAGTTTTATTGTGGAACTGGAGATAGGGATTGGGAACGTTAGTAGGACACTCCAAGATTAGAACTATTCACATCAGAGGACATCTAACATCTAGTTAAGCACAGTTGATGTCTTGCTGGAAGCACATAGCAGGCTTCTCTTTAGACTGTAGCAACAAACAGGTTAGAGTTGAGCAAAGTTCCTTAGCAGCAGTAACAATTGGACAAGCTCTTCCAAACACCAGCCAGTGTTCCCTATTCTTAGACCCACGCTCACTATAAAGCACCAGAGGGGTAGCAAGCACACAGAGTCCCCCAGATTTCATTGTGTCTGTACTCACAAGGCCCAAGGACAGAATGGTTACCTCCTTCCAATCTTCCCAGTGACACCCTTCAGTGATACCAGACATATCCTTGGCAGACAGCTCCCCTCAGTCAGTGTACTGAAGGTCACTCTCTATAGTTTCAGGCCCTCAGGTAGCCCACCCAAGGCCATATGGCAACAAGTGCCAGGCGAGGCAAGCCTGCGTCCAACCTGGCTTGGTGCAATCCTCTCCAGGGAAAGACTCTGAGCCCATGTGCTCCTAGAAACAAAAATACCACTCCCAGTATGCAATGGGACCACCCTCCCCTGCAATTGGCCAGGACTGTTTTCATATTCATACTGCTCATTTGCCTTGCTTCCACCCAGGTTCTGGAAGGCTCTAGTTGCTTTCAGAAGGCGAGGGTGGGGACTTCAGACAAACTCAAACAGCACCAGAGCATCATGAGCAGACCTTACTAATCCTTCTCAGCTCTCTGTTAAGCAGAAAGCCCAATTAGATTTTCCTGACAGCCTCTCTGATAAGCAGAGGAACACAGCTATACTATCCTAACTGTCCAAATCCTAGCACCTAGGAGGGTGCTATAAATGTTTAAAAGCAAAAGCATAAAAGCCCATAAAAACATTTGAATTTGAATCAAAATGATCAATTACATTATGCATTCAGATAGCATTACCCATAATACTAAACTAACGTATTTTTCACTCCATAGGACGCACTTTTTCCCCCCAAAAAAGGGGGGAAAATGTCAGTGTGTCTTATGGAGCGAATATGGAGCGGCCGGTCTGGTATTCCCACAGCCACCGCCGTGTCAGAATACCGGGCCAGCAGCTCGTCTCTTCTCTGCAGCAGGACCTTACCTGTTCCTCGGTCCAGCGCTGCAAAGGCTTCCTGCATTTGCATCTTTAGTGTGGGCTCTCGGCTGTGACAGCCGGGTGCCCAGTGCGCATGCGTGAGAAGTGCTGCGCTTTGTGAATAGTACGGTGTCTTCTGGGACACATGACAGGTCCCAGAAGATGCTGAACCAATCACAAAGCGCAGCACTTCTCCCGCATGCGCACTGGGCACCCGGCTGTCAGCTGGGTGCCCACACTAAAGGGACAACAAACTACGAAGTGGGAGCGGGTACCTGTCAAATTCAGGTACCCGCTCCCCCTCCCTCCCCAAAGGTCCGCATTCTCTTAGTCATCCCCTGTACTGTCTGCCGTCTCTGGTCCTTCCCTGCACTGTCCGCAGTCTCTGGTCATCCCCTGCACTGTCCGCAGTCTCTGGTCATCCCCTGCACTGTCCGCAGTCTCTGGTCATCCCCTGCACTGTCCACAGTCTCTGGTCATCCCCTGCACGTCCGCAGTCTCTCTGGTCATTTCCTTCACCATGTCCGCAGTCTCTGGTCATCCCCTGTACTGTCCGCAGTCTTTTGGTCATCTCCTGTACTGTCTGCAGTCTCTGGTCATCTCCTGTACTGTCCGCAGTATTTGTCATCCCTGCACTGTCCACAGTCTCTGGTCATCCCCTGCACTGTCCGCAGTCTCTGGTCATTTCCTTCACCATGTCCGCAGTCTCTGGTCATCCCCTGTACTGTCCGCAGTCTTTTGGTCATCTCCTGTACTGTCTGCAGTCTCTAGTCATCTCCTGTACTGTCCGCAGTATCTGGTCATCTCCTGTACTGTCCGCAGTCTCTGGTCATCCCCTTACTGTCCGCAGTCTCTGGTCATCCCTGTACTGTCCGCAGTCTCTTGGTCATCTCCTGTACTGTCCACAGTCTCTGGTCATCCCCTGTACTGTTCACAGTCTCTGGTCATTTCCTGTACTGTCCACAGTCTCTGGTCATCCCCTGTACTGTCCACAGTCTCTGGTCATCCCCTGTGCTGTCCACAGTCTCTGGTCATTTCCTGTACTGTCCGCAGTCTCTGGTCATCTCCTGTACTACATATGTCCACAGTCTCTTGGTCATTACCTATACTGTCCGCAGTCTCTTGGTCATCCCCTATACTGTACGCAGTCTCTGGTCATCTCCTGTACTGTGTCCGCAGTCTCTGGTCATCTCCTGTAGTACGTCTGCAGTCTCTGGTCATCTCCTGTACTGTGTCTGCAGTCTCTGGTCATCTCCTGTACTGTGTGTCCGCAGTCTCTTGGTCATCCCCTGTACTGTCCGCAGTCTCTGGTCATCCCCTGTACTGTCCGCAGTCTTTTGGTCATCTCCTGTACTGTCTGCAGTCTCTGGTCATCTCCTGTACTGTCCGCAGTATCTGGTCATCTCCTGTACTGTCCGCAGTCTCTGGTCATCCCCTGTACTGTCCGCAGTCTCTTGGTCATCTCCTGTACTGTCCCCAGTCTCTGGTCATCTCCTGTACTGTGTCCGCAGTCTCTGGACATTTACTGTACTGTGTCCGTAGTCTCTGGTCATCTCCTGTACTGTGGCCGCAGTCTCTGGTCATTTACTGTACTGTGTCCGTAGTCTCTGGTCATCTCCTGTACTATGCTTGCAGTCTCTTGGTCATCTCCTGTACTGTCCACAGTCTCTGGTCATACCCCTGTACTGTCCGCAGTCTCTGGTCATCCCTGTGCTGTCCACAGTCTCTGGTCATTTCCTGTACTGTCCGCAGGTCTCTGGTCATCTCCTGTACTACATATGTCCACAGTCTCTTGGTCATTACCTATACTGTCCGCAGTCTCTTGGTCATCCCCTATACTGTCTGCAGTCTCTGGTCATCTCCTGTACTGTGTCCGCAGTCTCTGGACATCTCCTGTAGTACGTCTGCAGTCTCTGGTCATCTCCTGTACTGTGTCTGGCAGTCCTTGGTCATCTCCTGTACTGTGTCTGCAGTGTCTGGTCATCTCCTGTACTGTGCTGCAGTCTCTGCCCCCCCCCCCCCCCCCACCCCCCCCCCCCCCCTCCCCCCCCCCCCCCCACCCCCCCCCCCCCCCCCCCCCCCCCCCACCCCCCCCCCCCCCCCCCCCCCCCCCCCCCCCCCCCCCCCCCCCCCCCCCCCCTCATCCCCCCCCCCCCCCCCCCCCCCCCCCCCCCCCCAGTCTCTAGTACGTCTGCAGTCTCTGGTCATCTCCTGTACTATGTCTGCAGTCTCTGGTCATCTCCTGTACTATGTCTGCAGTCTCTGGTCATCTCCTGCACTATGTCTGCAGTCTCTGGTCATCTCCTGTACTATGTCTGCAGTCCTCTGGTCATCTCCTGTACTGTGTCCACAGTCTCTGGTCATTTACTGTACTGTGTCCGTAGTCACTGGTCATCTCCTGTACTGTGTCCGCAGTCCTCTGGTCATCTCCTGTACTGTGTCCTCAGTCTCTGGTCCATCTCCTGTACTGTGTCCGCAGTCTCTGGTCATCTCCTGTACTGTGTCCGCAGTCTCTGGTCATCTCCTGTACCGTGTCCGCAGTCTGTGGTCATCTCCTGTACTGTGTCCGCAGTCTCTGGTCATCTCCTTGTACCGTGTCCGCAGTCTGTGGTCATCTCCTGTACTGTGTCCGCAGTCTCTGGTCATCTCCTGTACTGTGTCCGCAGTATCTGGTCATCTCCTGTACTGTGTCCGCAGTCTCTGGTCCATCTCCTGTGTACTGTGTCCGCAGTCTCTGGTCATCTCCTGTACTGTGTCCGCAGTCTGTGGTCATCTCCTGTACTGTGTCCGCAGTCTGTGGTCATCTCCTGTACTGTGTCCGCAGTCTCTGGTCATCCCTGTACTGTGTCCGCAGTCTCTGGTCATCTCCTGTACTGTGTCCGCAGTCTCTGGTCATCTCCTGTACTGTGTCCGCAGTCTGTGGTCATCTCCTGTACTGTGTCCGCAGTCTCTGGTCATCTCCTGTACTGTGTCCGCAGTCTCTGGTCATCTCCTGTACTGTGTCCGCAGTCTCTCTGGTCATCTCCTGTACTGTGTCCGCAGTCTCTGGTCATCTCCTGTACTGTGTCCGCAGTCTGTGGTCATCTCCTGTACTGTGTCCGCAGTCTCTGGTCCATCTCCTGTACTGTGTCCGCAGTCTCTGGTCATCTCCTGTACTATGTACGCAGTCTCCGGTCATCTCCTGTACTGTGTCCGCAGTCTCTGGTCATTTCCTGTACTATGTCTGCAGTCCATTGGTTCAGAGAAATATTTTTTTTTCTTCTTTTCCGCCTTTAAAACCTAGGTCAGGTGCGTCTTATGGAGCACAAAATACAGTATATTACATATCAATACAAGTAGGTAAAAACTATATCCACAATGTACAATTACTGTACATTGAAGAAGAAAAGAAAGTGAGCATATGGCGAGTCCCAGTCCCTGAAACACCTAATATGTTTAGGGTCTATGCATTCCGCAGCCTAAAGCCACTTTTTCATGAACTGACTTGATGGTACTGCGCGTGACAGTAAATCACAGCATGTCTTTAATAATTATGATGTAACTATGGATAATATAAAAAAATAACATACATGCTGCAGTATAAAGGTAACAATAACATAACATTTATTTTCTTACCCCTGTATAATTGATTTGTTACCTTTTGATCCTGCCAGTAGATCTGGTATTTTTCCACTTCCCTAAACAGGGCAACAACGCTGTTTGCTCTGCCATGAAATCACTAACAGCACTCTGACCCTGTGGACAGGTCCGTCTTAGATGGACATGTAATTTTAAAAGAACATTAAAGAGTATGTAAACCGTACAATTCATATTCCTGATCGGTGCCTGATGTACCATGTACTTGTATGAAAAATGATCCTGTTCTCTTTGTAATGCTTCCTTTGTGTGAAATCACTGGTGTTCCTGCCAATGACTATGCTCTCCTATTAAAAACTGACTACACTAGGCAGGAGAGAACAGCATGGGCAGCTGTGCTGAGAGCTAATCCACCTCCTGTACAGCCATTCACTAGGAAGATGAGTGTGCTGCTGTTTCTTCTCCCCCAGCTCTCTAAGATCCTTATGCAGCTGAGAACAGAGATTGTGTGATCTCTTATTTTAAAAAAGGAAAAAAACAGATACAGATATAATGTTTTTTATTTGTATACACATATGTTTTGCTTTTCATCTGTATTTTAAACTGAATGGGTTGTTTTATAAGCGATGGTTCATATATACTTTAAGTAGGCAACAAACAAATTTGAAGTGTAGCACCAGCCTAACCCTAACTACTCCTAAAACTGCCCCTCCCCCTCCTAGCACCGATGCTTACTAACCTGTGTAAGAAAGATGTATATACTTTACTATTTTCAGCTTGTTCTTGTCTGGTCTCCTGATCTCCCCTGTGTCAGTCAGTGATGGCTACAGGGGAGAGGAGAGAACACTCTGACAATGGCTAGTAAAGCCTGGAGCAATGACGTCACTATTAGGCCCAATTATGACCCATCCATTTTCGGTGCTCCCTTCTCTACTATGGCTGAAACAGGGGAGCCAGGTCACATGACTGGACCAGACAAATACAAACCCACTTGTAAAGGTTGAGTTTACAGTAGTAGCTGTCACTATCACACATCTGAAAAGCGATCCGCAGTGGATCTTTTTCAGAGGTGTTTAACAAGCAGTGAGGAGGCAATATATCACCTCCTAGCTGCATGCTGTAACCCTGTAAATGCCAAACAACCATGCAGCAACCACATGTGCATTGCACACAGTTGCAGTATGGTTGCAGAGTGGTTCTATTCACTGAAACGACAGGAGGAATCATTTTTGCTGTGACCGCAAAACAAAGCATCATGTATTCCCTGTCCATCTGCCTTTTACAGCTTAAGGGGGTTGTAAAAACATAGCACAACTGCCTGTTTTTACTGCCCCGTCAATGGCAAGCGTAAATAAGCCTTTTATCATAATGGAATATCTACAGTAAACAGTAACCTTTGTAACTGATACAGTGTATTTGTGAATCGTTGTGAAGCAATATCAAAATTGATAAACAAGCCAATACAAACTTTCAGACTCAGTAATATGCAATAGTAAACATGCTGAGAGTAAAAGCATTACAATAAATTAAAAAAGCAGAAGGCACCACCATCTAAGTGTATCAGTTTATTAAAACATTTTAAAAGTGGTTGAAAATCATCAGTCATTAGTCGCTAGCACAACTCAATGGAAAGCCGCCAAAGGCTGGCATATGGAACCAGCAAGCAACTCTGGTGTGCATGCGACATCCAGCTGAGGAGGGATGCAAGGCTTGAACCGTGTCCACCAGCGAGAGCCATAATCACACTGGAATGCAAAGTGAAATAGAAAGTAGAAAGTGAGCGCACGGAGGAGAAAAAAGCAGCCTGCATAAACGGACAACCCTATGTATCCTCAAAATTATATATAAGGAACGTAAGAAGCTCTGTGGCTCGTTGTGCGAGCTATTTCCTTCAAGGGGGGCTGAGTTTTTGCTGGTTCTGCCTATGATGGATGTGTCTGCTGGAGTCATTCCTTAATGCAGTGTGAGGCCAGTGGTGTTTCTTTTCCATAAAAAAAAACATATACATGGAAACAGCGCAAAAAAATAAACAAATCATAAAAGCTGCTATACCTTACCCTTTAAAGTAAAGGTTACAATATAAATCAAAAAAAGGTAGTGCTATTAAAAAAATTATTATACAACTTATACTGTGACATAAATAAATATTAAGGGCAAAACAAAGTGTCTCTGAATTTTCTTTCCAATAATGTGAAATACGTCCATCACCAACAAAAGTGTACCAATCCACCACCAGTAGAAATGAATAAACTCACCAGAGCATATTGTTAGTTATTTTATAAACCAGCAGATGCGCGTTTGCTCTGGGAGCAATACTCTGCAGACAGGCACAACGGTAATCGGACTCTCCAGTATATTCACTTTCAGCTAATGGAGCAATACTCTGCAGGAAGGGAAACTCGGCAGCAAGATTCTCCAAAAAACACTCCAAATTCTTTCACACAGGCTCAAAAGGAAAAGAGAAAACAAAGCAGGCGATAGTGTAATACCGTATGGTACATTTATTCCTTTAAAAACACATCTGATCCACTCACATGGTAAAGTGTTTAGCCGACACTAGCAACAAACACATCACATTGAAATTATCACAAAAACCCAGAGACATCGGCCGCTTATGGAACGTAGTGACGTCAGTCTGAAGCCCCACCCTACGCGTTTCGTCACTTGTCGTTTTCACGGAGCAGAAGGATGAACGTCACTACATACACAGCCCAGCAATTTAAACCCCGCTGCAAACGAGGGACAAATTATATATATATATTTAACAATCATATTATTACGCTCATATTATTAAGCCAAAATACCTTTGAACTGCAACCGTTATAAAACAACATATTAATTATGACAGTAAAAACTGAAAACATACTCGGTTTGGGCATTACATTATATTATCCACCCTTAAAGGGCCAGTGTATTAAAGTGGAACTCTATCATTCCAATTTTTTTTTTTTAAATATGTAAAGATAATCATCTTATATATAAGAATTATCAATTCTTAAAAGACCAAAATCACAAAGCAGAACTCTGAAAATCCAAATATCACTGACAAAGGCCATAGTCAATAATTACATCAGTAATATTTAGAAATCTGTGAGGAAGCAATTAAGATCAATGACAATATTTAACCCTTGTGGTCTTAGGGTATCCAAGTTATATATCCAAAATGTTTCTTTTTTGGAGACTTCTTTTAACATATCATTTCCTCTCCAATGCTGGTAAATTTTATCAATACCCCAAAAAGTCAGCAAATTTACGTAGGTTGCAATTATGGTACAGTTTGAAGTGTCTAGATACATTATGTTTATCAAATCCTTTTTTAATATTATTTATATGTTCTCCTATTCTTGTTTTTAAAGCTCTAACTGTTCTTCAAACGTACTGGAAGTGACAAGG